GCGTCTAGGCAGTATTCGCGGCGAGGATATTCCGTATATCTTTGGATTGCCACTGGTGCCTGGCGGAGTTTTCTTTTCTCGGAATTACTCTCGCCAGGATCAGGGCGTAGCCGAGGCAGTTCTCACGTTTTTCACGAATTTCGCGAAAACCGGCAATCCGAACGAGCCGCACAAAATCGAATCGGTGGATTACGGCACGCCGAAGGAGAAAACGCGGTATCGCGGTCTCACGTGGGAACAATATGAGACTGGAACCCAACAGTACCTCGCAATTGGTAAGTTTCTTCTACGTTTTCCTTTTCCCTTCTTCCGTTTCTACCATTTTGTTTCTCGTTCTCATTCAAATTCTTCTTTGTCACTTCATACGCGATACGTGGCTAGTGACTAAATACGTTATATCGATTCTTCGTTCCAGCGATGAAACCGAAAATGAAAAGCCACTATCGTGGTCATAAAATGGCGGTTTGGCTGAACCTGATACCGCAACTTCATCGACCTGGAGACGACGATGTCTCCATGAGGCATCATCACTTTCGCGAAAGAGGCGACCACTTTTATGCAGGTAAAAAACCAAACTTCTCTTTCAACCAATTCAAATTTCCTTCTCAAATGTAATGGTCAACATACGTAGATTCGCTACAAAACATAACTGAACCAATAACGATGACAAATTGTCGATACTGCAAACTGTTACAACTTCGTAAAAGAAAATCATACAACTATTCACTTGATCTCACTTTAACTCATAAAGTTCGTTCTTTCAACGAAATATTTTCTAAAAACATTGAAAAATTTGTTTCTTGATTAGATCCACCATGATGTTAAAGATTGAAGTCTCACCTAAAATTTTCCGTACAATTTCTTTATGGTTACACGGCTATCTATTAATATATAAAGCATTTTATATTGGTCAAAGGAACAATTGAAACAAACTCAAGAATATATTTAGAAAGTACATATTTCGTATAGATCACAGAAATATTTAAACAATCATAGCCTGTTATATCAATAAGTCTCAATATTAAGTGAAATCATGACATGGTCTTCACTACACATTTATAAAAAAAGGGAATCATCTGAATTGTCTACAATTTGTCTACAATTAAAAGAAATCTGTCCCTAACGCACAGTGTAAGTAACGTGCACTCCAATCCACAAATTAAATAATTAAAAATAAATTCGTTGAACCTTGCAGGACCAGTTCGGGACGAATGGTACACTCCTCTTCCCCTCGTTGGAACAACCAAGCCAAGCGCTTCATCGACAACAGCGTGCAGCACGTCCACGGGTGACGACACTATCACCGAAGACATTACACCTATTCTGGACGATTCGGAGGACGACGCTGAATTGTTGCAAAGATTAGCTTCTCGTCATTACTACAGCACTACTACAGCGCTTGCGATCACTGTCGGGGTCGGTTGCATCCTGTTGGTCCTCAACATGTTGATATTCGCTGGCATTTACTATCAAAGAGATCGCGATAAGAAGAGGGCAGCGATGAACTGCACCCCAAACGGGCAGGAATCACTGCCAATGACAACCAGGTCGTCCATGAAGGCTCCGGAGAGTCCAAGGCCAGCGCAAGAACCACCGCCGTCGTACACTACTCTTGCAAGAAGCCCTTCAATCCAGGAACACCAACAGATCGCTCAGAGTCAGTCAACGGATCTCGACGAACAGCCGAAGAACGAGCAGAAATCCGGCCACGGGACCAGCAACGCCATCCACAAGGATCCCATCCCGCCGAAACCTCCCACGAGAACGACCAGCTCTTTGAGTACTAGCAGTGGCACCAATACGATTAAAAAACGTGTGCAAATACAGGAGATATCCGTATAGCATTAGGGGTTGCCCCAAGAGGGCAACATGAAAACCAAGAAAGTGACTTTCGTAGATTTCGAGGCGATCGGCGAGTCAAAGTTTTGAGAAAAGTTCGCACGGATGTGGATTGACGATAGTTAAACATTAGATCATGGCACGTAGGCCAGAGGTTGGTCTACAAAGAGAATTGTCTCTTGAGAGTTGTAGTGAAACATTAATGAACAATGAACACTGTTGACATTACTCTGAGGAAGAATGGATTTTGAAGCGACGTTCAATTGTATGTTAAGTATCCTTTAATTATTCTGATGTATAAACAGCGATAACTGCCATGTGTCATTGAAAGGACAAAGTGCTTTTACAGGAAGGCTTGAGAGACTAAGAGTGTTCCTCAATTATGCACGTTATAAACTCTATGCAGCATCTTGAATGTGTTTCTTTGCGGGATATAGTGCGTTGTCTGTCACAAAATGTTGTCAAAGTTACGTATTGCAAGAAGAAGAAGAATTCGAAATGAGTTAATCAAATTTCACCGAGTTGTTTCTTTTCACGAAACGCATAACTTGACCACAAGACCATTGTAACTGTTAACTAAGAGTGGACCGTTTTCCAGAGTATCTGATATTGGTTTTCTTTTTCTACAAATATATTGTTGAATAATTGAAACTTAACAAATATATCTCTTCTATATCTCTTCACACATTTAAAATAAATTTCAATATCTCTCTACAAAATTTATCTCACACATGAAAGTAGACAAAAGTTGGAAAAGAAAGAAACGTATCTAAAACTTTCAAATTGAACAATATATTTGAAGAATGAAATCGATAATATAAATTTATGAGTTAGCACTGTAATTATCTCACAATCAGTGTTCTTTCAAGTGTTCTTCTCGTAGCTGACATCCAAAATGAATTAGCAATGATCACGTGATTAGATTCTGGTATAACGCTAGATTCGTGAGAGATTCCTACTTCCGTTTGTGGATACAACTTAAAAGCCGTTTCGTATCTTCTCTATTTCAAGTACTGAAAGTTGTGCACGAAATCGCACGGGGATAATCAATTAAATAACATGTATGTAACACAATTCGTAGAAAATTGTATGGAAAGATAATCGTTTAAAATGACTTCTACAATTGAAGAAACGATAATTCTATTTCGTAATATCACTGTACACATGATGTACAAAATGAACTTTTCTTTTTCAAATCAGAAGCAAAATTTGTAGACAAAATTAATAGAAATTTGTGGATGAAAGTCACAATACTAGTTTCATTTATCATTGAAAATTATTTACTTCTGTTCTCAAAGAACAAAAATTATCTACTCTGAATATATTTTATCTTATTTCAGCATTCACGTGATATACAAAGAGTATAAAACAGAAATTGAAGAACTTTGTCAATTTTGTTACCTCCTTATCATCTTGATATCATCGTTCGCTAATTAAAGAAAAAAAAAAAAAAAAGAAAAACAAAACTTAAAAAAATGTATACTTAAGCACTCGATACTGAAAAAAGACCAGTTCTTGTATTCGCATTAGAAACTTATGCGAATGGTGCGTGAAAGTTCGAGATTGAAGTGAGTAAAAGGAAATTGCACGTTTAGTTTGAGCGGAACTGGCACTAAATTTGCGAAAGTTCACTAACGACAACATGTGCTCAAAACATAATCATAAAGTTACAATTTCCTTTAAATTAAATAATATCTACATCTTTTCGACCAAGTAATCTAAGACGAGATTACAACCGCGTTTATGCAAATATAATTCTAGAAGTTTTCAAGCTGAATATGATGTCTGTGTTATATATACATTAAAAATTATTAAACAAATTGGATTTATAAAGCGCAATGTAAATTATAAACATTATAAAGGGACTTATTATTCCTTTTTTTTTCGAGCACCTTAAATCTCTTCTACTTTCATTATTTTTACTTACTACATGTAATGTAGCGCGTGTTTTAATATTATTTTTTACATAATTGAAATTGATAAAAAATATTATTCATGATTGTAATTCCCCCTTCAGTTAAATATCGCTGATTCTATATATTTTTTCAAAAGCAAGTTATTAAAATACTAATTTGTTAAAAATTTGTTCTTTCACATACTCATAATCCAGACTGATTATCAATATTAACATACAGTACACCAACAATCACTCTACTGAGAAACAAGTTTTCTTCTAGAAGAAAGAAACATCATGCACTTCAGCGGACAAATTTTCAATCATCACGTAAAAAGATAAAAACACCTATTCAATATAGTCGAATGTATTGATTGTACGCGTTTTCTTCATACCAATACGCACGTGAACTAACAAAAGCAAATAACGTTGTATTTTAAATAGCAATCATACTATACACGATGCCGTGTAACTGTACTATCAATTTCGATCATTTTCAATACACCATTTCGCGAAAAAAAAAAAAAAAAA